CGTGTGCCACGCGCACCTGCGGGCGCGAGCGCAGGGTGTGGGAGGGGCTTTGTCTGTATACTTCACGTGGCACACGACTCGAATGTTTGGGAGTGCCCAGTAATTTGCTGGCTTTTCTTTCAACCTCCCTAGAAGTCCAAAGACTATATTTTGACCGACTGAAGTAAAGCAGATTCCTGTTCGGGTCACCTAAAGAACATTCTTTTGATAGTCTTTGACTCCCAGGGACCTCATTGCAGAATATAATATATAGCGGTTTCTGGTGCACAGAGGGTGGCAGCTGCCCTGGTTTTTTTCTTTGGGCGCTCGTTGTTCTTCACTTCGGACGTGACCGAAGAGGACGGGCCCATAGGTTATGGGGTACCACTCCCAGATACCCAACGCTCCGCCAAGATGGCCTACATGAACCATCCAAAACCATCAACTGTAGGCCATATTTACATACATCGAGCATTTGGGAATGGGATCATGTAGACTCTTGATTAATCACCCACCCATTCTAGATTGTTTTTTTCTAACTTTGTCGTGTTTGGGGCGGTTTATTGAATCAAGAGTCTACTTGGTCGGTTCTTCAAGCTCTGTGGAACCTGATCCATTGAGCGTTCACTGCTGTCAATGACCCAGACCTGGGAGCGTGGACCAACCCTCCCCTGGCGTGGAGTCATATGCCACTCCCATCGAGTGTTTGGGTATGACCAAGCTTTTTGCTGCAGCTGAGGCATGCTGAGGCAGTAGGATCCTTGAGAATACCCTTGGTTCAAGAACTTGAGCTAGTCGATAAGAGAGAAGTCCGTGGGAGGTAAGGATTGCTGAGTTGAAAAGAGAAAGTCATGCCAATCTGTAGAGGCAAAACCCAATTTTCGGAAACTGTTTTGCACTCTCAGGATTCAATAGTCTGTTGTCAACTTCACGAAGTCCGAAATGGTTGCCTGTGAAAAAGAGCCGTCGGGGAATAGTCGGAAGCCCCCTCTTCAACGAGACTTGCACAATTTGTTACGTGGACAACCTATGTGGCAGCCGCCGCACCATCAGTCGCCAGGGCTTTGAAGCCTCCGTGCTGGAGCAAGAGAAAGAACTGCTCGCTCAGGCGGTTTACTGCGGAAAACTCCAAAAACTACGATCAGGGTGCGGCCGGCCAGCTGCTTTTTGCCAGCTGGGATCTTCTTCTCGTCACCCGACCCAGGAAAAGTGGATTACCTTGAACCTTATTTGGGGAATTGGTTCCCCATTCGGAACAAAAAGGTGAACAAAAATAATCCATTTGTTTGCATGGACATGGGTCAAAACCTGGAGCCCGACCAGTCCACCATGTATATAGGACCTTCCAGGGAGGTCTACTTCTCTGGCTCTCGGGCCATGACCCAGAGTCAGATGATTTCCGAGCTTGAAACCAAGCAGCCTCTACTAACCATCATTCACCACATGGATCTACCCAATATACCGATTATATACATGAACACCAACTGATGGGTTACATTGATTAAACGAACATGGTCCCTGAGAATGGCACCTTGAAAAGACGGTTTTCCTCTAGCTGCACCCAGTGGTTTTAAGGGTCCATGTTCGGTGTTCTGCAGGGTATATCAGCTGACCTCCGGAGAAATCATCGGCGGACCTCGGCGGACGTCGGTGGGCCTTGCCGCGGACCCGCGGACGCGCCGTGCCGCGGACGCGCCCGAGCTAGGTGGAGGAGTTGCTCGTCGCCGATCCCAGGAGTCACGACCAAACGCGCGGGTGACGCGGTGCATCTCGAAAAACGACGGCCGTGAGGCCTGGAGGGTTCAAGAGTCAGACAAGTTAATTTCTGGGAGCTCCAAGTGAATTTCTGGTAGATTTGGAGTTTTGGGGCGGCCGTACCAGGGTTTGGGGATTTTGAGTTGGAACTCCTTGGCGGTGCTTCTTGTGATAAACCCTCCCCAACTGCTGGACATCCAGGCCATGCGACTGTTCGTGCAGGGCCCGGGCCCTGGTCGTGCAAGGTTTTAAGGGCCAAGTCATGCAAGGCCGAGGTCCTTTGCTTGGGAGGCCAAGGTCCAGTCACCTGTCCTGGTAGCACAAGCTGACAGAAAGTGAGTAGCATGGAATCACTCATGGAATCGTAAGAATGCCCGATTCCCATGCCATTTGACAGGGAACAATCGGCGCCGTAAATAGGCACCTATATCGGGAACATAGGCACCGTTTCAGTTCCCTCTCACAGCGGTGCTATTTGCTTGGCCAACCCCACAGGACCTTGACCAGCTCCTTGTCGCGCAGAGTGGCCTTTTGGGAGGTGCCGAGGGGTCAATGGTTGACGGTGCTGTGGTGATAAACATCATTAAACATCCTACACCTGATGCAGAACATATGGATCCCAGGCAATTACCAATAGAACACACCAAGATTCATGAGAATCACATAGAATATCATAGAATAATTAACTGTTTAATACCATAAATTCAATAATTTTCCTGTGTATGTGCACTGCCTATGTTGTAATGGGGGTGTGTTTTCCACTGTTTTGCAACTGTTGGGCCATTAGCTTGCTTGCGGCAACAGCTAACGACATCCATATCCGCCATATGGGCCACATCCATCAAATGATAGAGGCCTGACCTGCTGCTTCCATGTATTGGAATTAATCCGTTTCATCAACGTATCGAGTGAGTGTGCGTACCTTGGCTTTCGCTTATTGCCAACTTTGGTGTCCGATCTCATGTAAGTCGTGCGTTCTTCTAACTGGGTAGTCAAAGGCTCTTTTCAGTTGCTATGTGTGTAGGCAGTCCATCCAGCACTTGAGAAAAGCCAGACATACAGGAATTGCTACGTCATACCTGGGTACCGTGATGGCGGTTTCAGCGATGCGTTCAACCTGTACTTGGGATGATGGCTGGCATTGACTCCTATTTTTTGCTTCATGAGTTGAAAGCACCGCTTTCCGGGGGCGATCCACAACAGGTGCAACTTCTGAGAACTGAAGGGAGTGTAACTTCCGACCTTGGGCGAGTTGGCCATGTGGCCCGGATCTGCTGCTCCGAATCAGCTCCAGTCCCGATCCGTTTTCGTACCGAACCTCAGGTACCGGTGAGGGAGTGAGACTGACACTGGTGCCAGCCGCTGTCGGGTGGTCTGGTCAGGTACACCGGGTCGAACAAAGGTACGACTGGTGGATCCCTATGGGTGTGTTTTTGTGTCCTTCTCTTCCAACAGAGGTTGAAGAACCCTAGTGGCCCTAGTTCGACTATCCCAGTTGGGTACCTCAGTAGGGTGCTAGTTCAGGTCACTATCCACCTCTCTTGGTGTTCGTTTTGTTTCATTTTCCGACCTCACCGTGGCACATCCGGTTGGGGGAACTTCCCGTGCCTGATCCCCCCCTCTGCACTGTTCGTGATTCTTTCCGCAAACTGTGAAGGAGCAAGTTCTGTTGCGATTGCGTCGAAGAGTTGCAACTAGTCCCTGTATTTGCTCATAGCTATTAATCTCATCCCCCAAGGGCTCCAACTACATCCAACTACCTTGTGAGAAGTTGGTTTGGGTGGGTTTGGGTAACTATAGCTTCTAAGGATGTACTGCACTTGGAGCATCTTGGAGCCCTAGTGATCTATGATGCAGGACTCCAAACCTCCTGGCACCAAACATGCACAGCACACCAATCACCATCCCTCGTGCAATCTGCACCGCCAGGGGCAGATTGAGGAGAACTGGTCCCAGTGGTCTAACCAGTCGAGCCGTTTCCATGAGGCACCGGCATTAGTTGGACAGATACGGAGCAACGACTTTGACCCCTTTATCTCAGTCATGTCAAAGTGGTTTGGAAACAAACTAGCAACTAGCGATCGATTGGGAAAGCTATATATAGCAACATGATGCAATATATATATATATATAGGTTTGCCATCATGGCTTTTGAAGTCCAGTTTGTTTTGCTCCTCCATGTTATTTTTGCTGTGAAGGTTGGATTTAACGGGTTAACAAATATGCTCTTTGGCTCATTGTCGCTTCTTTAGTGGAGATGCAATTTGCACCCTGGGAGCAGCACCATCTTCGTCAGGCCCAGGCCGGTGCAGTGGAGTGCTGGGAACAACTCCGTCAGGGAATCTCAGGAATCTGACTCGATACATCCCTGGGGCTCCTTTCAAAGGTGGCCGGGGTGTGTGGTGGGGGAGTCTAACTACCATCTGAGGATGTGGGCCAGGAGCCCTGGCATTGAGCCCTTTTCAACCCGAACTGACCGGCCATATGATCATATGAATCATACATGGAGTGTTTGGATAAGAATCCGGGCCATGGCATGGAGGGTCCGAACATTGCTATGGAGGGTCCAAGGATTCTTCGGGCGTATGAAAACACTGGCCACACACACACACACACCGCACTCAACTTGTTGAGCGTTTACATGAGTTGTAGTCTGTGCCTGGAAGGTTTGAAAGATGACTTTCCACCGTGTGGGAGAGGGTCCGCACAAGTTTGGAGTCTAAACGCCGACGATTGATATTTTTCCCCATTCACTTCCCTTCCAATTCCCTCGGAAGGTGTTCAGGACCCCCCTGGTGACAACTTCTATCGATCAGACTTGTTCCCTGAGAGTCCACAAAGTTTTGAGAAGCAGATTAGAAAAAGGTTATCACTTTTCAGGGACTCAGGGTTTGGATGTGCATGAAATGACGCTCATCTTGAACCTATTTTGTCCCAATGACCAACGGTCTTTGACGGTGCGTTTCTGCAGCGAGAAGGATCAAGAATCACGAGAAACACATTCAGCACTTTGAACAAAAGCATGGAGCATGGCAGAAAAGATGCTCAGCTGGTTTATATAACAATGTTCTTTACAAACAGCCCCAGCTTAAGTACAAGACCCACTTTTGCACAGGTGGGAGATAGCTCAAGGCACAGCAGGCACCGCTGACACAGCTGTTCTCAGACGATCCATGGGACTGTCCCTTTTCAGCCACCCCAACTGGTCTGCAAACATAACAGTCCCAAAAAGGTCGTGTCTTGGATATATCAAACAGGTTATTGGGGTGCAGGGCTGGTTGTTCGCTTTCCGCTCGTTCAGGGTGTTGCGGGGGATTTTGAGCCTTTACTGCACCTGAAGCGCCTCTAGAATCGCTGACGGCGCGTGGCCTTTGTCGGATGTGCGATTCGATGAGCGCGGCCTACCTTGATACGATGTCGCAGCCGAAGATGGAAGAACTCAGGTTGCTGGGCTGCAAGGAATATGGCTGTGGGTTGACTGTAGTAGTCTATTCTGGTAATTTTCTGTGGTCAAGACGGGCCCCCTGGTTGTGAAACCCTAAGAATCCGGGCCCGAACCAACACAAAGCGTCTTGAGGATTCTTAGGGCACAGCCATATGGGAAAACAGAGTGGTCATTGAGGACAGGCCCTTGCTGCTTGGGCTGGGACATGTCAGTGCCAGGATTCTACTTATTCTAGCCATCAAGTCGGGGGTGTTGTGAAAGTGGTGTGGTTTCTTGAGCCAAATGCATCCCTACCAGAAGTATCCAGACGTCCAGAACTCACAAGGTCGACCTGATCCAGAACTCACAAGGTCGACCTGCCCGGTGTCTTCATCAATTAAGGGACGAGTTTTCTCCATGGGAGCACCAGTACTGATCACCGGTGGCACCACCATCAAGTGGATCTGGAGAACCACCATCAAGTGGATCCGTATAGCATGCCTCCGACACCTGAAGATGCAACACCTGGGCAAAGATGGCACGTGATGCTCTCCGCATCTCCCCGCTAGATAGATGTATATCGATCGAAGTATCGATCTATAACCCATTCATACTTGCACTACCGACAAGCTTGACTACTGGGGAAACTTGCAAGCCCTTACATTTGATCTTTACGATTCGACGGCAGAGGAACAATTTGACTGTTCTTCGGTGTGTTCACATGATCGGCAGGGCACATTCATGCCACAGAAGTCCTGCCTGCGAGAGCTTCCGTCCGAGGCTGAAGTATCCGGGTGTCGAGGTTGATGATTTACCTTGGCCCAAAGACATCAGCCACTGGAGCGACCGAGATCTGGACATCTTTGTAGGCAGCGGAGGACGCATTAGAGACAGATTTGGCCAAAAACTGTGTGATGACAAGTCCATGGTTTTCGCAGAACTCCCACCCAGAAGGCCAGATCATTTGCCTCAAATTGTTCAGGACAGAGTGCGGTTGAAGTCTGTTTTGAAAATGCTGGCAATGCCAGTTCTCCACCCTTGCATCGCAGGATTTATCAAGCCCAAGCGTCGAAGACCTGACTCTGAGCTCCTCATTTGTGCACCTGCCGCTGGGCGAGGCTAATTTTTGCTTTGATGCCTCGAGGCAGCTTTCCTCTAAGAAATGACCTTTGTTCAGTCAACCGAGGTCAGAATTCCATGACCGACACGAATTCAGATGTGACTCAAACGACCTTCACCCAAGAATATTATGTCCACTACAGCCGTTTCAGAGTATATGGCACAAACCCCAAGAGGTCTTAGACATAAAACACCAAACTTGGGGTAACTTGTGCCATCTCTACTCTGAAACTACTATAGATCCTTATGGGATTTTTTGGGTGGTGCAATTTTGCTTTTGGGTGGGGTCCTTGGTTCTTTGCCCCTTGCCTGTCGATGCATGCCAAGATCGTGACTACCATTGGCTGCTGTGTGCTTTAATCTGGCAATATGCTCTGAGCAAGGAAGGAGTACACCAAAAAAATTGTTCCACACACCCAATGCAGCAGGTTCAGAGTAGATTTATCGCTGGCACTGGCACCCCTACATGTCCATGTAAGCCCCCACCTGTTGCTTGCGGATGATGCTCTCCATCCAGGCCATCCAAATCTTGTTTCTTTGCCAAAGACCTGGTCTTAAATAGATGTGTCACTGACCTCTGGTCACTATTTAGGAGGTGTTTGTTCCGATGAGGTATGGCCAAGAAACCAAGAAAGCGATGACTGATGAAGGGCCTGAACAGAACAACCAGGCCCTTGTTGTAGCCCACTGCATTCAAAGGGTTGGGAAACGAAACTCAACGAGTTGAAGACCTGTAGGTGTTCACGGGGGTTGGACATCACTTACATCTGATGTGTTTTTGTTGTGCCACGTGAAGCTGGCCTCATTTGGGGAACCCCTTGTGAGGTCCAAGTCGCAAGATCCATCAAGCATAGGAAGCTGTTAGGGATGAAGTGGAAAGAAACTCAGATTCACTCCCCACACACCCTGGAAAAGAGGAACTTGCATGTGTGTCCCTGGGTTTCTGGGCAAGCTTATGGGTGCATGCCAGCATTTCTTGTTGGGAGTTGAGAGCAACCGCACGATGCGCCAAGTTTCTGTGCCTGAAGAGTTTGCTTCCTCATTCACTGGACGCACTCGTTGAGGTAAAAGATGAAACAAAGCGAGAAGAGAAGGACGCTCGCAGAGAAGAATTGATTCGACTGTGATCCTCCTGTTGCAGGGCTGTGCAGGCCCCATCTTCTAATTATTAGGTTGTCTCTTTGATTGAAACTCCATTTGATACTAAAATGATATGTGATCCCGAAGGACGTTCTATTTTATCAAATGAGCTGGCCAATCCCAGCTGTCTTAGGATCCCCAGCGGGATTGAGATCAAAAGGTCTCACAACTTATTTTGGACCAGATATTTGTGAGAGTAATATCATTGCAAATTCGCAATCATTCACAAACCTTCCCAGGTTGACCCAGTCTGGCTCTCCTTCGCTTCGCAGTGAAACCCATGGTCTTACTCCTCAGGTCGAGCCGCAAGAAGATCTCTGCGGCGCCCTGCGGGGCAAATGCCTTGGGCGAGGCGAGGGCACATTTCTTCTCGCGGTCGAAAACGCGTCGATGGGGCTCCCTCATGGGCACGGCGGGGTGGGGCGGTCAGTCCTTCCTGAGGATTTTTCCTCCAAAACCAGAGCCTTCGGCAGGGCTGACCCCTCTATGTGGCTGTCATGGCACCAGCGCCGAACTCACCCTGGTAGATGGACCTGTCTTATTCGGTTCTTGTTCGCCGTTCAAGCGCAAAAAACCACCAGTTTTGACACATGGCACCGGAGTTCTTGATGGCACCGGAGTTCTAGAAGAGTGTTCCGATCGGCACCCGGGGCAAGGCGAGCTTGGAAATGGAGGACCTTGGTCGAGTGAGACTTCTAGGGCTATCAGTCTCTAGGCCTTGTCACCTTAAACACATGATGCATATGGCTTATTTATTGTTGCAAAGGTCATCAAAGTTCGACTACGTTCCGCCAGTGATACTGTATTATGTTTCCTGTGTGATATCATCTCAGATCCCTTAGTGTGTCCATAACGGCTTGATAAACGGCTTGATATTGGTGCCATATGGTTGGACAAGGTCCACTTTGAAATCCCTAGGGAGTACGTTCTCAGGTGCGGTACGAATGGACCCTCCTGGCACCTACATGACCGTATCTCCAATCGCCTGAGAAGGTACGAAAACGGATCCCTAGGGCCCTAGATAATCTCGAAACACAATGCCAGGGGACTCCTGGCCGCTCCTCTTTCAGGCTGTTCCTGCCCGGGCTACCGCCGCTGGCCTGGTGTGGGGGGCGGTTGAGGAGGTGACCTGGCGCTGGCGACGGCAGCGCTGCGGTGCTACCGGTGCAAGTGTGCTAACAAGGACGGTTCACCGGAGACAGATCACTGAAGCATTTCAGGCTCTGCGGGTGCGGTTCACCCCCCGCGCGCGCCCCGCGCGCGAGCGGCGAGGTGACGGAAGGAGTGGGAAGTGGGGAGCGACTGACTGAGCGACAGGGGTGGGAGTGACCATGGGAGTTCTTCAAACCTTTAAAGAGACCCGTTCCTGGTGCTCCACCCCAGATCCTGGTGCTAAGTGTGACCACATCACGGCATGTGATTCGGATCCTAATGATACACCACTTTGGGCGGATCCCCCCACTCAGTAACAGTTCCAAAATCATCATCACAACTTGTACGCACCAACAGTCCCAAAGAAGTTGATTTTGGTCCCTTGCACGTGAGTGGATGTTTTGGGCACCCCTATAACTGCAGGGGCCCCTGCTCTTGAGCACCGGCACCAAATTGGCAAAATCAGAAACACATAGTAAAAACATAGGCCAAAGTACTCTTTGAACATTTTACGTGCCAACATCTAAAATCTTGTTCATTTCAATTTTCCCATCCCTACCCTACTTGGCCAAAGAAGAGCCTTTCAGCCGCAGAGGATCATGAGCTAATGGACTCGGATGCCTGAGGGAGCTACTCCCATGCCCAGCGAGGGCGCAGTTGGAGGACACAGATGAAGAATATCCATTCGATTCACCATGGCGTGAAGAAGATTTGCAGTTCCTGTTTGAGTGGTTCCTATTGCCATGCATGTGTTTCATGTTTTTCGCAGTTGGCGACGTGTTCTCTCCACTTCCTCTCCCCCCAAGTCGGGCACGGATGACCGAGCTCATGCCGGGGAGAGGTGACCCATTCGGGGGATGGAAGTGGACTGATCCCAAGTCGGAGATGACCGGCAGGGCATGTCTTACAAGTGAGGTTTTCAGTGATCTCATAGGACCCACAACCTGGGGTACCAATGATTCATAGCCTAAGTCGGGTTCTCCGACCTCTGTCGGCAGAAGCATTGATTCCTGCTGAAGCGGGAAATGTGTTGGGGCTCCTGTGGCGCATGAGAATCCAGAATCCACGTGGCATGTGGCTGTGGGTCCAAAAACGGAGCCCCAAAACAAAGGTAGGTTGACCTCCCAGGCAGTCCATTCTGTTCATTTTTGGGGGTCAACCCACGTACCTCGGTTTTGACCCGCAGCGCGGCGGTCAGCTCTGAGCAGTGAGCAGACCCAGCGACGAGGCCCGAAGAAAACACGCAGGGAAGGCAGCATGGGTCGCCCTCGAAGTTGTTTTGAGACAATCGCATCACCCTGATGAATAGACTTCCATCACCTAAGCCACAAAGACCACCTTCCAAAGCCACAAAGACCACCTTCCAAAGCCGTCTTTGGAGATTGAAACCGATGTTGGGTCATCTTCATCTTGGGCGTATACAGTGTATACAGGTCAAGATCTCACGCCAACATGGCTGTGGGCCGAAACCGGTCAAGAGGCGGGCCCTGGCCCCCAATGCGGATGACGGCGTGTCCATCGTGGCGATGGAGAGATCCTGACCACCGCTACCAAGAGAGGCAGCCAGTGACCTAATAGGACCCATCACCTGGGGTACCGAACTGGGATAGTCTGGGCGTTCAACCCCTGTTGGTATTCATTGTAGTCCATGGCTGCAACTCCGTGGCTTTGATGCTGCCTCAAATGTTACTTTCTCTCGGCACCCTGACCAAAGGCTCAGCTTTCTGATGGTAAAACATGGATAGTTGGGCATATATGGAGCTGTTGCATTCTGTGCGTAGCTGGACAATCTTATTTGAGCAATGATCCAACTAAAATGTTTCAGTAACGGAGATTGTTCACCTTTTTGGCTAAGGTGGCAAAGCATACATCATGCTGGCGCAGCAGGCGCCAGAGCAAATTTGGATGGTGAAATGTGTGATCCCGCGCGTTGATTTGTTCTGGCCCTCGACAACAAATGACAAAGACCGGATGGGATGTTTCATTTTATGGTAATACTAAATTTTTGTTAGTTAGTTATATAAATTATTGTTGTTGTTAGTTATGTTATTTTATGTTACATAATATTGCCGTATATTTTTGTTATTGTTAGTTTTTTCTTATTCTGTGTCGTGGCGGAGTTCTTTAGACCATATTCGCCGTCACTTTTAGTGTTTTTTGTATCACAACAAATCTCCAAAAGCTTCAGGATAGATAGTCCTTCAAGACTGCCAACACTTCAAATTTGAGCCACAAGTTCTTGCGTGATACGTGGCCGTGTTTTCTCTCAGGAAGCTTCTCCGCAAAGTCGCGAGGCCGGGAAAGCGTAATCGGACAGACGTGCAACTCAACACTGGCTGAAGGTTTTGGAGATGTGATTCGCAAGGCCTATATTATCCTAGATTGGTGAGTTCTTACAATTGGTGGAGCTGCTTTTGGCTGAGTGGGTGCTAGTTGTTCGGACCAGAATTGAACGATAAGAAGACTTGTTTCCCGACTTTACCGGAACAAAAATCGTCAAACGGCCGTCGTTGGCCTTTGACCGCCTGCAGCTCCGCCATAGCAAGGCTCAAACTGAAGCTGTGCACAAGGTCTTTGTTGAGGCCGCAGGGAGGACTACCGCGGGGTCCAGTCCATATTAAACCGTTAATATCATGTGTGTCGAAAACCGTCCCTGTGTTGGAGCATGTTTTTCCGCTTGAACTTGCTGAGCTCCCGTTGAGCAGCATTTCCAACAGTTCGCAAGGGAACCGAGCAGCATTGAATGTTTGAAAAAGGCAGTTCTCGCCTTTCCCCCACGAGTGATATGTTTAGTATAGGTGTCAAAGGCAAGCAGCTACGATCTCATTGTTTTTTGGTCATGATTGTGTCGGCGCAAGGCGCAGCCATGAATATCAAGTGGTAGCTTTTGCAAGTGCTTCTGCACTGTGAGAGCCTGCTGCTCACAATCCACCTTTTGGCATTCCCAGCGTCCCTGCTCGGCCTTCATCATTCGGGGGAAGCAGCGGCGCAGGTGGCTTGCGGTCTGGCTTTGCTGGGTGCCTGGGCCTCCTTTCACCATTTGAGGTGCGGTTAGGGGGACAAAGTGGGGCCCAACGAATGAGAGAGTGGGGCCCAAGTGTTTGCAACTGATACCAACTCTCTCAGCATGATAACTCCGAGAAATTGTGGGATATTCTTGCATGGATATTCCGGCGTTCAGTTTCTGGAGGCCTGGTGGGGTGGATACCGGTTTGGAGGAAGGGGCTGGCTGGGGTGTGCTCCAGCCTAAACCTCTCATCCGACCCATGCAGTGAAAACAGATCCGGATCCCAGTCGTAGCTTCGACTCGAAGGTGTTTGGACATGTTACGACCCTCCGAGCCGGCCATCAAAGTGCCTCGAATCACCTTCTCAAAGAGTCTCAAAGGGTGGCAGATGGTTGATTGGAGCATCCAGAGTTTCGCAGGTTTCGCGGCACCCTCTTCGAGACCTTGCAACATCCTTGACAGCACCCGAACATGATGCCGTTTTGTACCACTGGCTTTGGTAGAGTCAATGGACCAATCGGATTCAATTGGTACTGTAAGTTTTTGCAAACACTGACCCAGTCTCCGAATCAACACCAGATTGATGTACTTGATATCCAAGCCCTTCCATGTTGGGGTGTTCTTCAGGTTTCACCAACTCCAAGATTGCTAGCTGCTAGCGGTTCAAGTGTCATATCATCTTGGCTGATTGGCCTTTATGGTGGCGTTGGCTGATTCGCCGGTCGTTTGGAATCTTTGAGCTGCTCGACGGGGACAGTTCTTCAACCCCAAGCATTCCCAAGCGCTCATGGACTGGTCATAGACTCACTTGGATATTTCCCAATATATATTGGGTCGAATTCCGCATAAACACGCTCCAAGATGCCCATTCACTTCACTCCAAGATGCCCCCTGTGGACTTCCGGACCGATCTATGCGCCGACCAGGGGCGATGGCCGAATCTTGCCAGAGCTCAGGGACCTCCTCCATAGCCGCTGGGCACCAACAACACACTCGGAACCACGCCTGGTCAATTGTGACAGCTTGTTTTGCACACACTAGTTTTCTTAGGATCTACCTAAGCTAGACTGACCAAGAACACGGATTTCACATTATTTCATCAAACACCTGGTGAGGTCCTTTAAAGGCGCATGTTTGGGGGAACCAGGTGGCTCTGGTTTTTTCGTCTCCGGCATGGGGAGCTGGGTGGACACGGTGGGACTGGGAACTCATCAAGAGTCTATGAGATCTTCACCTTGTTAAACCTCCCAAGAAACACCCATCAGATAGCTTGGAGCTCCAGGCATCGAAATCAGACACGAACGGACAGTCGAGACGCCCAGGCATCATCACCTGCAGGGGCTCTCAGGGAGCCATCGCGGAGGGGTGAAAGTATCACCACCTCTAGGGATCCACTGGCACCTGAGGTATGCTGAGTTATGCTGATGTGTTCGACACTCTTATTTAGGTGCCAGGAGGGTCCAGTCGTACCGAACCTGAGGTTCGGTACGACTGTACGATTGGATCCCTAGGGCTTGAAGAGTGTCATGCCGCAGGGATGGCCATCGCTTAGGATGTGATGTTCTCTTGACGCCTTAAGGCGCCTTGAGGCTTGGGGAGTCTTTACGAACAAACAATGAATCTGAAAAGAATTACATGCGCGCGAAGTGAGCCCTTGTGCAACTTACAACATTACAGATCCAGCTCTCAGAGCGAAGGATAGAGTTGACTGGAGGTAGGTAGCGGATTAGGGGATGTGTCCAATATATTTGTTGTGGGTTAGCGCAATTCTTGACTGATCTCCAATTCAGCATGTTTTGCTTTGGCTGAATCAGGCATCCACCCAGAAAGTCAGGGTCAGACATGGACTGTAGATGTGGACATTGTGCTATTCTTTGGATTTCCTGTTGTTTTGGTCACAGTGGTTGATCTATGTTGATCTTATCTCAGATAATCAGATAGAAGTCAGGCATGGTGAGGAAATCGAGTGCGCTCACAAAACAGGTGAGAGTGGTGGTGGTTGTTGTGCTTGTTGGTGGTGTGGTTGTAGTCTTTGTTGTGGTTGTTGCTGTTTTGGTTGTTGTTGGTGTTGCTGTTGTTCTTGTTCTTGTTGTGGTTGCTTAATTGACCAAATACAGCACCAGAAACAGAAAATGCCAAGTTGCTGTTTTGGTTGTTGTTGGTGTTGCTGTTGTTCTTGTTCTTGTTGTGGTTGCTTAATTGACCAAATGCAGCACCAGAAACAGAAAATGCCAATAATGCAATGCAACTTGAGGTGCATAGTTTGCACCTTGTGGTCATTTTGAGCCATCTTGATGGTAGGGGGTACCCCAACGAACAGGAAAACAAAACGAAACCGTTTGAAACAGTATGTGTTCCAAAAGAAACGCTAAGAGCACCGAGTTGTTCAATATATTTGCGCCTGCATTGTATGCAAGAGCAGAAAACATCGGTATTTGCACCGCTTTCCCTCGAGAGGGCCTCCAGGCCTCCTCCCGCTGGCCCTGTGAGTTTACCCGCGGTATACTGGCGGTCTACGCATGGTCGGCGGCTAGGAGTCGCGTTTGTCCTTGCCACACCTGGGAGGTCTTTTTGTTGTAGTGCACCCATGTATCCTCAGATCCAAATCTCGCCGTTGTATGTATCTCTCCTCAAGTTGTTTGGTCTGTATAACCAACTCCAGCAAAATGAGATCATTTCAGATATAGTTCCTCCCTTGGGCGGGAGGGAGGCCTCGTTCCTTAACCATCGAGGCTTGGACATCCACTTCAGCGGATACCAGGCACTTCAGCGGAGCCGTAGACGACGAGAAGGTTGCGGAGCTTTTTTTGGTGGTCGGAGGTATAGTTATTATGGTTTATGGTCAATGTTCAGAGATTTTTCAGTAGGTGCTCAAGTGTTTTCATTTCAACGTTGATTCTG